AATGTGTGTGTGTGTGTTAGAGTGTAAGGATGAGGGGAGTCTAACAAACCAGTGCAGAGAAGGTAAAATAGGGTTCTTACTAGCATCTGAGCGCATACGGACAGCCTAAGGGGAGAGTTAAAAATCGAGGTTTTCTTAAAAGTTTATTTCTTGAAAAGACCAGAAATGGTGAGGTCTTGGCAATACAAGTGAAAGCGGAGGGGTACAAGGAAGAATATGGGTTCTGTCAGGAAACCTGCAAGCACATCCATGCAGGGCAGGGACAGAGGCCCTTTATAAGGCTGGCAGAGCAACCCCAACTCTGTGAACATCAGACTTCTGCTACCACGGGGAAGCTGTCCAAAGACACATATGAACTCTCCTGCCTCTGGGGGAGGGCTGGAAAAACTTCATAGAAGGCAGCATTGTCTAAACTGCCCTGCTTTCTGCCTTGGTGTCAGCTGAGTGAGGGCGCACCTTAACACACACACAGTGTCACCCACCCATGTCACAAGTTTTGCCTGTCAGCAGCCAGATGTGCAGAGCCCCAGAACCACAAACCCTGCACCTATCTCCTTGACAGATGGCAGGGCTTGTGGCCTCAGCAGGGGCTAGCAAGCCTGCAGCTTTCACCCTGCTGCGCCTTAACACACACAGTGTCACCCATGCCACAAGTTTTGCTTGTCCACAGCTTGAGTTGCAGTTTCCCCCAAACCCCTGGAGCTATCTCCTTGAAACTTAGCAGGCTTTGTTGCCTCAGCAGAGGCTAGCATACCTGCAGTTTTGACCCCACTGTGGCTTAACACGTACACATGACATGAGTTTTTTGCTTTCAAGACTTTGAGGTGCAGTTTTCCTGAAACCCCTGCACCTAACTCCTTGAAACTTGGCAGACTTTATAGTCTCAAAGGGGGCTACCATCCCTGCAAGTTTTATCTGAATCAGACAAGAAATGACAAAATTATAGGCAGTTTCATGCTTCCTCATTATAGCCTATGGGCAAAACATTGAAACAGCGGTTTCGAATCGAAACAAAATTCAAAATGAAACACTGTTCCATCGAAACGCAAGTCGAAACAGAACGGTGCTGTTTTGCACAGCTCTAATGGGCATGCACTCTGACAGTTTTCCTTTCCTTTGGCGGCTCACTGCCAGCATAAGTCTTGCAAACTAGGCCAGCTCTACAATGAAGAAGGGGCAGTGGAACCTCCATACAGCACAGTAGCGTTACAAAAAGACATCATACCTGCAAGCAAAATACCAAGAAATCCCATCCTTTTTTATGCACTGGGCAAACCCCAGGCAAAGACACTTAGTTTGCCCCAGCTACAGCTAGTGCTGTCACTGATTTCTAAACTGAAAGTGCAGAAGAAACACAGAACCTGGCACTCAGGATTTGGCTGACCACGATTTAAACAGGTAGTAGAGGAGCCTCTTTCTTAAGAGTCCATCAGTATCACTCTTGGGTTGGCTAGAGGGGGCTACTGTGGACAGCACTGCCTCCATCAAGGAACTGAATGCACTGGCTACTAGTGCCCTTAGATCAGGGGTGGGCAAAATGCAGCCTGGGGGCTGGTTGCAGCCCACCAGGCCATTCTATCTGGCCCACAGGGCCCCTAAAAAATTTAGAAAATTAATATTTATCTGCCCTGGGCTACCTGTCATGCGGCCCTCGATGGCTTGCCAAAACTCAGTAAGCAACCCTCTGCCCAAAATAATTGCCTGCCCCTGCCTTAGATATACCCATTGTGGAGTGGAACTGCGGAAAATGTAGTGGTAAAGCGCTGGTTTGTTGGTTGTAGCCATGATGGTCTAAGGACATAGTCAGGCAAGATTCTTTGGGTAAATGTGATATCTTTTATTAGACCAACTAAATAATTAGAAAAAAGATCTTTGCAACCTTTCGGGCACAAACACCCTTCTTCAGGCTGGGAGACTCCACTGATAACATCAGCAGAGTCTCCCATTGCTTAAAGAAGGCTGTTTGTACCCAAAAGCTTGCAAAGAACTGTTTTCCAACAATTTAGTTGGTCTAATAAAAGGCATCACATCTACCCAAAGAACCTTAACTGCCATGGTAATGTGCTGTCATTCATTCTTCATGGATCAAAGCTAAGTTCGTGCCCTGAGTTCTACCAGCAGCATCTGGGGGTCCCCAGAAGCAGAGAGTCCAGTCAGAAGTGGGTTACAGTAGCATCTACTGCTCACAGATCCTGCTTCAACTGGTCCTCAGAAAGTGAACAGACCCATCCAAGGCCAGGGCATATGGGTGATGTAATGATGCCGTCTCTCACTCTCCCACACAGGTAAACAAATCCCTCTTTGTTAAAGACATGCAGTGAATGCATTATGCCATGAAAGTATAATGCATCTGACTTTCCCTACACCTCAAAGACAGCACAGTTGCTTTGGCCATGCCTGACTGGGGCACTTAGATATAAATGGCAGTGGTCTTAGAATTGTTGCAAAGTAAATCACAACCTACAGCAGACTGAGCTTAGAGGGTCTCTTCCACTCACACTTGGTCTTTACTGGCTCAGGAAACACTTGAGCAGTCAGTGTTAACCAAAAGAGAGATGCAGCTTATCACTTGAAACTGGATACTAGCTGTGCACAGCACCAAAATTAAGTGCCACATGCCTTGCACTCCAGAGACAAGGACTGCAGCTGGAAAGGTTAGAAAGCAAACGTACTTGAACCAGAACCTTAAATCTGCGTCTAGGGAAATTAATTAAGAGTTAGCAGACTTAGGGAAAGATCCACGCTTCTGACTGGACTCTCTGCCCCTGAGGATCCTAGTGCAACCAAGAACCTGTTGAACTGGGCTCAGAGCTCACATTCATAGATTTGGAGGGGAAAGCAAAAAGGGACAAGCGTCAAAGGATCTGGACAAAGATGATGCTGTCACAGAGATAGAAAAATAGTGCTTGAAAGAGGAAAATAACTCAAAAGGCTTTCTCAAGGCCCTGAAGCTATTGTATTCTGGTCTATTCTGGTTATTCATTTCTATTCTAGGCAGCAGAGATGATGGGTACTATGAAGTTTGCTGAACACTTTCCATTACAAGACACTAGCTTTAGTTGCCCAACTTTAGCTACCAGTATGTGGGCTGAATTTTTTCATATTGAGTGTTTGTTTTGGTAGATTTTTAAAAAAATGCTTCAACATTTGCACTGTTTTTCAGCACAAGATTAGTGAAAAGGTTATATTGTCCATTAAAACCTTACAGCAAGTTTCACTAAGATGCAGATGGTTTGATATTAGGACTTGCAATTTGACATGGGGCTGCCCTGGTGTCAGACATGTGTCTTGTGGTATTCCTCTGAAAATCTGCCCAATCTTTGTCAAGCTGTAAACTTCTAAACATTTGACTTTACATATGCTCACTGAAGACTTGGTAGATTTTGGTCACTGTATTCTCTGAAGAGTCTGCCTACACTGAACATGCTCCTTCCCCTCACAGCTAAATGCCAAACAAAACTACACCTGCACTACACTACAAAAGAATACTGAAACTGAAATCTGGTTTGCATGTTTGGGTTTTTTGGCAAAACCTGCAGTTTTCTTGGAAACTCAATTTGCCATTGAAAAAATAGCTCCAGCTGAAAATGTTCAACCAACCACACCCTTACCTGAACCACTATACACCTTCCACCTTCTGCAACAAATGAATGACAACAGCAGCCTCTTTCACTGCACCACCTGGGATCATCTTTAGAGCAGATCATCTCTATTCTGAGTTTCAAATGGAGTGAGGAGGTCTATGGAAAAAAATGACAGAAGATGTTGTCATTAAAGACTATCCAGCACAAGAGGCTGACTTGGAGTTACACAGACAACACTGATTCTTGGCATTTCCTAGCTCTGCAATGCTTGACTTTGCAACCTGAAGCATGCTATTTCAATGTAGGGTTGTTTTTATTTATTTATTTATTTACAAGTGATCACCACTGAACTAATATTTGTAATATTTAGTCTGCCTCAACATTTCATAAGTTTCACATTTTAATTCCCTTATCTTGTCCACGGGACTGGGGTGTGGTGCTAGAGCCATTAATGTGTCTTGCTAGGGAGTTGGTTCTGCCCCTTTCCTTCAGACATAAAGGGAGGACTCCAGCATACAGTTTTTGTCAGTTCATATAATTATGACTAGAATCAACCTGTCTCAGAGTAAATGATGGAGGTGGAGGTGACTGGGCTGGAAAACAGAGAGAAGAATTCCTATAAAAGCCAGTTCTGTAGCCAACTCTACCACCAAGCCAATGACTGTACTTTCTTCACCCTGCCCTGGCCTCTCCCCTGTGGAGGGGGGTTGTCAGCAGATGGCCCAGTCATGTGGCATCAGCTTTGAAGGCAGAGCAGAAGCAGCATCAAGCACCTTGTGCATAAGCTGTGGGCGCTCAGGCAGCCTGATGGGAACTGGCACATCAAAGTGGGATTTGTGAGGAGGTCCTGCAGGCAGCCTCTCCTCCTCTCTGCTGGGGAGGGAAGACCCCATTCAGTAGGTAGTTGGGCTGCCTGAACCCTTTGAACCAGGAATGTGCTGTCTGCAGATTAGCAGAGCTTGCTCCCTTCATCCTTCTGCATTCAGGTGCATGGCCTACTTCTTAGTGAGTAGAGAAAAAATATAGCCTGGAGTTGCCTGTCCTCTTTAGGTCTGGTTACTAGATGCTCCACAGTCCCTTGGGAATACACAGGATGCTCCACAGTCCCTAGAGAAGAAAGCTAGCAGAATATGTTCAGAAAGCCTCTGCTACTCATTGTTTGGGTAATGGTTTTCAACCTTCTTTAGACTCAAGACACCCCTCCATAACTGTTCTGAATTTAGCAGCACCCTATTTCAAAAACAAATTTCATTCATTTTTTGACTATGAAAAAATAACAAAGCAATTCTTCTGCTACAAAGAACTCAAAAAGACCACAACAGTCTACAGTGCCTTTGACATCATGAATTTCTATTTGAAAGCTCTGGATTGGCCTTGTGAATTGTGTGTAGGTGTTTCCACATCTAACAGTGCTAATATTGTGTGCCGCCCTGTGATACCCCAGAGTGCCATAGCTCCCTGGTTGAGAATCACTGGTCTAGTACCACTGTACACTAAGATCTCAAAGCACATTACAACCATCGTTTAAGTTTCACAATAAGCCAAGGAGGCTGAGACAGAATTATTATTTCCATATTTCAAGAGAAGTAAACAGGCACAGAAAGGTTAAGTACGTTTCCAAAAGTCAGTAAGTGAGTCATAGGCAGAATAGGAGAGAAGAACCCAGGAGTTCTGATTCCTGTTCTGCCCTTTACAACAATACAAAAGGCAAGCAAAGAGAGCAAATGTTATGGGCGTGCCAACAGTAATCTAGCATTTAATCCCACAGCTAACTAGCTGAGAATTGTTTGTCTATGCTAAAGGGAATCAGAACTTGTGGTAGAGGTGATATCTTTTATTAGACGTGGGGTTTTCAACCTTTTTGGGTCAGTGTACCCTCAGCAGCCAGGTGAGAAGGCAGGAGTCCCATGGTGGCCAGACAAGTATACCCCCCATTGAAAACCCCTGTGTTAGACCAACTGCATTTTTGCAAAAAAAATTCTTTAATTGCAAACTTTCAGGCACAAGCACCCTTCTTCAGGCATAGGAGAAACAATTGTAAAAGTTCTCCTAGGTAGAAATGAAAGTTCATATTTCATAGGAGAGTTGAATGTGTGGTAAAATCTCCTGTTTGGAACAGTTCATTTTATATGCAGATTAGGCTCAGAGAAAAGTTGGAATAGTTTGTTTACCTCAAAGTTGTTTGGTGGTAAGCAGGATGTAGTCATATTTCCTCCTGGTTATGGTGTTTCATATTTCACAGAAGAGTAAAAAGATGGACTGCTCTTCTGGGCAGACATTTCTTATCTAGTAACGTGTCTCTTAGCTCTGTGCTGAGGCTCTGTGATGATGCAAATGACCGCGAACAAAGGCAGGAGCAGGATCTCAGGTTTCAGGTGGTCAAGATTACTTCTTCCTTGTAAAATTATGACGATTTCATTTTTAAAATGTCTTAGACAACCTTTGTCTATGCTAAGCCTTTCCTCTTCTGTTAATACCCACAGCTGTACTTAACTGCTCCAACAATGATGGGTGCGGCATAAAAAAAACTAGACAGAAAAAGGGGATTCAGGCAAATAAGTACCTCTCATGGCAGACAGAAGAGAAGCTTTTTCTCCCTTTCCTTCGTTTGTCCACCTACATTAGCTGTATTTACATGTACAAATGTTCAATATTTGACATCAAATGGTAGACAGGAACTGCCAGAGCAGACTGAACCAGAACTCCATCTAATCTAATATCTGGTCTCAGTCCATGCCCAGTATCAGATACTTCAGAGACTAGCACTGCACTGTTTTTTCCTAACTGTAGTAACCGTTAGTGGCTGAATCTTCCAAGAGTTGTATCCCATTCTTTTGGTTACTATTGTTCTGCTCTTTTACCTATATGAGTCTCTGTTTTTGATTGGCTTGTTTTGTCCTCAAGTGGTCATCCATGATGTGGCTAGGGCCAAATGCATTCAGCATTTGTTATAAGCCAGTCCTATGGACCACCACTGGAACTAGGAGCCACCTATACTTTTTTATAATGGAAGCTACAGCTGGGCGACATCCTTAACAATGAGGAAATAACCATCTTCAGTGTCAAGCGAGAGGGACAAGGAAAGCATTTTCTGAGCAGCACCAGCTCTTTCCTTGCACCACAGGATCAGAACAACTCCCACTGACACAGCCCCTGATGTCAAGCACAGCAGGTTTTTGACTGTAGACAGTTTTGGTTGCTTCTTCCTTACTAGCTGTGCCAGGCTTCCCGCTGTATCCTCCCCCTATTCTCTCTTTCTCTCTCCCTCTCTAGAACTCTGCCCCTCTTTGTAAAAAAGGTATTGACCACATGATTTTCACAAACAGCTTCTGCTCTGCAGCTCATTCATGAACAGCTCATTTCAGAGTATGCCTGACATGCAAGCTACTGTGATTGGACATGGAGGTCTTGCAGTGTCCTTCTAATCCCAAGTGGATGAGTGTGATCCTTAGAACAGTGAAAACATTCCCCCAGGTACACTCAGAACTGGCTTTCTGAGAATATTCTCCAGTTGTTATAGTTGGTTATTCCTTCCCTGCCCAGCAAATACTAAAGGGACACAGCCCCAGCCAGCATGTGCTTGTTGAAAATATTGCCAGGATTTACCCAGCTGGAAATGATCACCCACAGAGGTAAGAATTAGTGGCAAAATTCACAGTAGCTCTGGTGTCCCCTAGCAGGATTTCACAGCCCAATTAAGACTAAAACCTGAGATGTAAACTATGGGAGTGAGTATCTGGGAAACCACACTATCCCATCCATCCTTTCCTCAAGAATTCCTCCAAGATTGTAAGCGAACAAACCGAAGGCCCACGCTCAAGCCCATCCCCAATGCCACAGCTTCATGAGATTCCAGAAGAGATCATGTTGAGAAGCATTTCTCAAGGTGACAGGGCTGCTTTCCTTCAGAAGGGAACTTAAAACAAAACAACCAAAGCCACTCAATTAGAGTTTGGGGCTTAGACTGCCCTTTATCTCATGAAAAAGGGATTAAAGCCCTCTGATAATTTATAAGGCTCTTAAGAGTTTAAAGGGGAAGTGAGCTTTTATCTGAACTATCAGATAACAGCAAGCACGCAAAGGCCACGCACAAGGCAGCCCCATGCTGCAATCACTTCTATGTACCAAAAAATCCCTGTGACTAGCCTGACAGTCTGACCCCGCTCCCACAAAAGTTGGCCACCAGAGACCTCTGGGCTCTCTTGCTCTTGTAACCAGGCTACTACAATATGTCCCATTGGCTCAGACAGTCAGTCTGGTAACTCTTGGGAATCCTTTAAACATCATCACTTAGAAGCTCACCTTCACATGTCTTCAGCTCAAGGCTAGGTCCAAAACAGCCACTTTTCTTATGTGCTCCTGAATCGGTATTCTCTCATGACATTGTGATGAGAGAATTTTTCCTCTTCATCGCATGCTGATGTCACTATTATTTATGGAGCACTGACAGCACACTCATTGCTGTGTGTATAAATAAGACAACACTGTCTGGGCCCCAGAGATCTTAGAAGCCAGTCTGACCTGTTTTTACAGGTTTGGTGTTTCATTCAATCAGTTATTATTTGGGTGGTTGAAGTCATTGTCCATTATTATCTTGGTAGATTTTTCCTACCTTCCCAGGTTTCTCTTACTTTATTCACTAGCAAAGATGATTTCTCACAACATCCACATTACAGCAGACTGGTGACACTTTCAATAAGGGTGGGAGGCATGTGAGAGTGGAAGCCAAAACTTTAACTGGAACTGTCCCTAGACAGAGGATATCAGTCCCTCAGGATAGAAGAAACCATGGGCTTCACATTCTTCACAGCTAAATGCAAAGCTCCCTTCTACTCAACTATCCCATAACTTCCCCGTGCACCCATACAGCCCCATGCATCCATACAGCCCCTTCTGTGGGCCTTTGCTCAAGGATGGATTTCATCCAGCAGTAAACAATCTGTTCATACCAGTGGCCCCACTGAATGGAAGAATCACATAGCCAGTTCCTTTGTTACTTGAGTAGCCAGATCACTCATAAGAAGAAAGCAGCTGAAAAAACATTACCTCTTATCTGCCTTGCAAACTGCCTGTGAGAAGGTTGCAGTGTTCTTGAATGAATTAGTGAATCTAAATGGTTTGCTGAGGACTCATTTGTTTGAAGAACCGTTTTAGGGCCTTCAAGAGGACCACGCTGAAGGTTGGCTGGGGATTGTTTGGTGACATTTTGGGGGAAAGTGTTGTCTAGTGGATAAACCAGTGGGCTGAGAGTCAGTCCAGCAGCAGCCAAGCATCTATGTGATCTGCAGCATGTCACTCTTTTTGTTTCTCAAGGCTATAAGGATACTGGTCTGGGACTGTCATGAGATGTTCACGCTAAACTTGGTTGAGCCCCCTAAGAACTATCATATTATAGATAATGGGTGCATCTACATGTGAGCATTTACTGTGCAGTAACCAACATTTCTGCACAGTATGGGCATGCATTTACACATGCATGCCCATACAGCACAGTAAATAAGGTGACCTACTCTGACTTGAGCGTAAATGCAGGTATCTTGCTCTGTAAGATATTTACAGTGCAGTAAATAAGGTGACTTACTCTGATTTGAGCACTATGCAGGTATCAAATTTATGCCCAATTAATTACTGCACAGTAACGCACGTATAGATGCCTTACTATGAGGTAACACTGTGTGTGTTGACTGACTTGGGACTTTAACTCCTACACATGTAGATGCCAGTCTATTTCTGCTTACTGCACAGTAAATTTACTGTACAGTAAATTTAAGCCAGCATAAATGCTTGTGTAGACATGCCCAATAAGTAATAAATGTGTGTGAGATTTTATCTGATCTTGTGTGTTTTAATTTATGGGACTAGTACCCAAAAGCATAAGATGGGCACCTGGAGACACATGTGTACAGATGAAGAAAAATAAATATTTGAAAAAAATGAGAACAGGGGCAATAAAAATGGAGGGAGTGAATTTGTTTTAAAATTTGAAGTTGTGCTTTGAGAAATGCTTTATACAGCCATCTCTACTGAATTTTTTATTTGTATATTGGGCATGGGCAACCCTCAGTGATTTGTGGCATATGTGCATGGGTTTCCAGCTGTATCTGCATCTGTGACACTGGGTCAAAAGATACCTGAGGTTGTGCTGCGTATATTAGGGTTCAGAGTACTTATGGCTGTCATGCTCCTTTCTGGGCTTTAGAGCTGGCCAAAAAAAATTTAATGTGGCAAACCCCTAATTCTCATAAGGCCTGTATAATAACATCTCATTCTCACCATATGCAGCTGTCAGGTCCAAATAAAAGTATCTATTAATTGTGCCTCACTGAATTTCAGTCTCTCTCTTAAATAGTCATTGGTACTAATGCAGACAATAAGTAGGTTGAACTCTCATCTAGGACATGCACGAGACAATCTGCCTGTATGACCAGTTTTAATGGCGAGAGTTGAAACATTCATGGTTAGGAGGACTGCCCAAATACCTTGAAAGCTTTCTACTAGAATAAAAATCGGAATTTACATCTGTGAGTGTTCCCATCCCAAGACTGTCCTAGCCATGAGCTGGATGCTAGGAATATTTGTGAGAACCATGAATTGTACATGAATACAGATGGCCTTTTGTGGAAAGAAAAGTATTGGTGGTAGAAACCTCATTCTGAGACCCAGACCCCTCTAATCAGAAACAAAAAACAATACCATATGATCCCACGTGTCCTTTAATTTAATTTTTTTTTTTTTTTCCCGGAAGGGACCTTATAGATCTTCAAGTCCAACCCCCTGCCAGGGCAACAGAAAGAAACTGGGCTCAAATGATCCCAGCTAGGTAGGCATCAAGCCTCCTCTTAAAGACCCCCAGGGTACCAGCCAGCACCACTTCCCTTGGAAGTTGGTTCCAGCTCCTAGCCACCCTAACAGTGAAGTAGTTCTTACGGATGTCTAATCTAAACCTACTCTCCAACAACTTGTGGCCGTTATTCCTTGTTATGCCAGGGGGCGCTAGGGGAAACAAGGTCTCTCCCAAACCCTTCTGGTCCCCCCTAGTGAGTTTATAGACTGTCACCAGGTCCCCCCTCAGCCTTCTCTTGTGAAGGCTGAATAGGTTCAGGTCCTGCAGTCTCTCATTGTAGGGTCTGCCCTGTAGTCCTATTAACATTAACTAACATAGCTTGACTTTTGAACATCCAGTACAACAAACTGCTCCCAAATGGGCTAAACGCTCAAGAAATGTCGGCAAAAATGATATGCCAAACAGCAGTGTGCTGGTTCCTAGACTCTTACTTTGTCTAGTTCCCTTTCCTTATGCAATGCACAATTGGTTTGTCTGTGACAAAATCTTTCGGTCTCAGCCCTTGCCAAAGTCCCCCTCAGCTGTA